GGTGCAGGGTGCAGGGCTGGGGGGGGAGTGGGGAGTGGGGGGGGATGGTCCCGCTTGATGTGGGTGGCTTCTCTTTTTTCCAGGAGCCTGGTAAACGGGACCTTCTCCGAAGTGAAGGACAGGATCATTTCCCACCTGCCCTCCCTGCAGCTGCTGTAAGTATGGCCCTAAAAAGGCCAATTAGCGCTTTGACCGCTCCTCCTAAATAGAGTTACGGGTGCCCCTGTAGAAAGGGAGGTAACGGGTAAATCCCCAGCTTGATACAGCTGCTGTTTTGTAACAGAGGGATGCATTTTCCGCTCATAAACCACTTCATAAAACGTGTATTTAGTTACTGAGGGAGGACAAAATGTTTTCTGATGCCCTAAGTTCCTTTTTTTTTAAATTTCAGCTTTAATAAGTTTAGGGCAGAGTTTTCCCCCTGGAGTCATGTGGTAGTTCTCACTCGCGCTTACTTTGTGCCCGTGAGTCTCGCGTTGGCTTTGGGATGTTGCGGGCGCGATGGGGCGCGAGCAGAGGCTGCCGGGACACACCTCAGAGGAAAGCCGCTGTGTGTGAAGCGCTGGTGTTGTCTGCAGCATGACTCTGTGCTTCAGCATCCGACATGGAGCGCGGCCCCTCGGATGCCTTCTGACCTGATGGACCTACAGGCAGGATGGTCCTCTGTCCCAGGGGACAGCGATCCCAGCTCCAGACACTCTGCAGTCCTCCCTCCTTCCTGACCTCAGGCAAATCGCTTGGTGGTGCCCGTGTTGCAGTTGGGTGTCTGCCTGCAGCTCCGGTAGCTTACCCAAACTTGCTTTAATTTAGCTGTCCCGGGAGGCAGTAGCAGGGAAGGTACTGAGATACGGGGTGTGTTACAACCCCCCTGGGGAGCCCGGAGACTTGTTTCTCTGGTAGTCTGCAGAGAAGCCGTGCCACCGCCTGCGCCCTGGCTAGCCCAGTGCAGCCTCCCTGTAACGCCCAATCTCAAGCAGACCCTCCACACCTCCCCCTGTAAGGACCAGGTTACCCCCAAAGCAAAGACACACTGCAAAGACAAATTCTGCAAAAGGATGCGAGGCATGCCAGAAACCCAGGCTAAGCGCTTGCCACAGAGCTAGATGTTAAAATTGGTCTTAGCAAGAGATAGTCCCTGAAAGTGTTTGGTAGCATGATGGCCAGCCTCCTCTCCTCAGGCACCCCCGCCTCATTCTCAAAGGCCTGTCTTGCTGTTTTGGGGGAGCAGCAACCCCATGGAAAATGCTGGGGAGAAGTGGGCAAAGCAAGAGGTGGAGGCTTGCACCTTCTTTAGCATGGCACCGGTCCCAAATCCAAGTTTTTGTGGGACTTGGGGGCCAGCACAGAGCCCTGGGCAGAGGGCAGGGGGACTTTGCCCACTGGTGAATGAGGGAAACAGCAGACCTGTGCCAGCTGGGAAGGAAAGGGATGAATCCAAGGGTGGGCTGAGAGAAACCATGGGTGGAAAATTAGAGATGGGGGGAATCTGACTTGTTTTGGATAGTGGTACTGGGAAGAGGAAGGAAGAGCAGATGAAGGTTATCCCTTTTCCCTTAGCTGTAGTAGACTTCCAGGAGGAGATGTTGGGGGGTGTGGGGTGGTGGGGCAGCGGTCAGTTGTTGAGAAAGTCAGAAGTTGTCCATGTCACTTCATGCGGTAGGTCAGATGTGGAAGCGAGAGGGGTTTGTCACGACCACCACCACCACCTTGGGCCCTGAAAAATTTTGTTGGATAGTGTAATTTGTGACTTTTCCCTTCAAACATGAGAAAAAAGAATGATTAAATGACAAAAGAGATACATGCATAATTGATCACTTGGGTACCTCAGGACTATGTCTTCTGTGGCAGTAGCCATGGTAAAATAGTAATGCAAGGATTTATTTCTGATGGCGGTCTGCATCTTTGTCAGATTTCTTTGGGATAATTTAAGGAGCATTTGTCTAGTATTAGCATAATAACTGAGGATCACAGGGAAAGTTTGCATTTCATGTTCACTAGTCTTCTAAATTAATTTTGGTAAAATGCCTAAAACCATGCAAAAAGAGGATTAATAAGTTACTCTAATGAAGTGATTAGTGCAGACATATTCACTCATAGTGGAAAATTCTGAGATTTTGCAAAAATTATTTGAGTTGTGTTCGATTTTTAGATCAAATAAGAAGTTTTGCTATTTTCTTAAAAAGTGATCGCTCTCTGTGCCTTTGAACATCAACATTGGAGATCATCCGCTGTTGTGCTTTGATACAGCAAAGAAGGAACCTTGCTGGCAAAGCCTTTCCGTAGCATCCTTCTCCCTGACCGCCTTGTCCTGGCTCAGGTGACAGCTGCTGTGGTGCAGCTCTAACACATTTTGTCCCTGAAGTTCACGCGGGAGGGCAAGGCAGTGCCTGGAGCAGGCAGCACTGCCGCTCTTCCTCGCTGCCTGCGGACAGAGGGCTTTGCTTTGCAAGGATAGCAGGACTTTCTTTCTCTGGCGTTTTGGGCACGTCTGTGTTTCCAGCTACCGAACTGGCCGCGTGAACCGTGTGCTGTCCTCCCACGCCGCAGGCCGTAGCCCGTCTGCAGGTCAGGCTTGGAGCATCCCCCTGGGAGTGCAGAATGAGCAAGCGCTGATCGACCGAGACTGCATAAATGAGAGCTATGGCTTGTACAAAAGGGCTCCCCCCCCTTTCTGGGAGCTCAGGAGTGGCGCTGAGATGGTCTCTTGAAGATTTTCAGTGTGGCTGGAGGGGTGGTGGGCAACTGGGGTCCACACTCAGCAGACCTACTCTCTAAGGACGGCTTTTCCTGCTCAGGGGACCTGCCGAGGGCCAGGTTGCATTTAACCAAGGTGAATGGCACAGCGAACATTTTTCCTGGGGAGCAATGGACATTAACTAGCATCACATTATGCCTTTGATTTTTTTTTTTTTTATAGACCATTCCACAGTATTTTACGTGTGCTGCATTGGTGGGGCAATGTGGGCTCGAGTCAGTAAGATTAGTTTGGTCATGGGCAATAAACACAACGGGCATAATCCAGTGTGTCAAGTTTTAATGTGCTTTCCTAATGCCTGCTCTCTGTTTTCAGCTTGCTGAACTCCAACTCCTTCACTGTTATACGAGATGATGCCTTTGCTGGTCTCTTCCATCTAGAATACCTGTAAGTTTGGCATTTTATGTCTTCCCCTGTCCTTTATAAATCAAGACGTTTTGATAAGTTGCCAAGACTCCTGCCGTGGAGTCTTAGTCTTTCCTGTGATTCCCAGGAGCAGGGGAGATGAAGGATTTATGTTCCACTCCTGTGCAAATGTCCTTTACGGTGGCTCACCATTTTTCAGAGGCTGCAGCGGATTTTTAAAATAGGCCGTGAGTGCAAGGTGGCTCTGTGCAATCACAGTACACCAAAAAGGCCCTGCTGAGCAAGAGCTTGTCCTGGCTCTCCAGAACAGTGCCATCACCGTCAAGGGGTTTTGAACCTCAGGAAGGAGGTGGGGAAGCCCCTCCTGGCCTGCTGGCAGCCTGAAGAGGAGGTGCAGAGTATCCGTGTACTGCCCAGAACAACCCTGATTACCAGACTGCTTCCCTTCCCCCAAACTTTGCTCTCCAACTTCGCCTTTTTTCTGATACCCCATTTAATGCCTGTGGCATTTATCTTTGTATTATAAATAATTATAACTATATTAATATATAAAAATATTTTTCATATAATATAAATTACTGTAATTATTTGTATTATTATTTAAATTTATTTAACTTCCCTTTTCTTTACTTAGTTCACTTCTTTGTTGATTTTTTACATTACCTTCATTTCCCGATTTTTTTTTTTTTTTTTCTTGGTCACCCTTTTTTCTTTTAAAAAAAGTATTAGCTCTGGTATCAGGTTGTCCTCACTTCCTACTCCAAAGGACTGCCATTTCTCTGTGTTACCGGACATGAGCTGGTATGTTTGAAACTCTGAATATGACCTGCAAAAAAATTCATCTTCCCGCCCACCTTCCTGTGCTGAAATGTAGCTGTGGAAGACATTTCTGTCTTTTTCTAAAGGAAGACCAATGCTCATAAAACTGACTCTTGCTAAAGTCTTGCAGACAAGTAGGTATTAAGGTGGGGTATATTTAGGACTAATAGTCTGATACATGCGGAGCAGCCAACAGTGGAATTTGCAGACCAAGAAGTAGAGGATAATGGTAAATGGTATATGCTGAAATCCACGATTCAGCTACATCTGGATTTTTCAGCGATAGCGCGTTATCTAATCATTCTCTTTTCCATGTGTCTACAGGAGAAAGTAATTTGCAGAATGTTTGCAAAAAGGAAGAACAACATTTGTATGTGGTTTCATTAATGACTTGCTTTCAAGTGCTCATGAGCCTAACATGGAGCATGTCCCAGCAGCATATGCAGTCGTAGCGGTTGCATTGGTAACTGCAGCCAGACCCCCTGTCTGAAAGAAAAAAATCCTGCCCCTCCTCAGGTGGTCAAAGGGAAAATCTCTGTCCCTGATTGCCAGCTGCAAACCAGGGAGCAGAGTGAAGACTGGTAAAGCCTTACAGTTTCAATTTCCTTTAGTAGCAGCTGAACAAGTGGTCTTGGTTAAAATTTCCTTTAGTAGCAGCTGAACAAGTGGGCTTGGTTAATGGCTGTGGTCGCCCTCCCTGCCAAGTCCACAGACCTCTTCCTTTTCCCAGCAAATCGTACCTCTGCTGTTTGGGAACTGGGTGCGAGTGGCCTTTCTCTGGGGTTGTTTTTGGCGATGCAGCCAGTAACACTATTACAGCTGCAATAACTCATGTCTCTCAGTTACCAGCGATCAGACCTTACAGAGAATAAGAAAACCCTGCTGACAAACAAGATCACCACCCGCTGGTGATCAGAGTGGCATCCCCAGGGTAGCATCCCTTCGAGGCCAGATTTGGTGACTAGGAATCCGGCAAATTACTGAGTCCCAGCCCAAATGTCCATCATCTCACTGCAGTGTGTTCAGTGAAGCTGTGTTTATTTGCACGGACCGGTGAGCTGGCACTGTGCGGCCATGCCAGATGCCAGTGAGGGTGTCAGGAGGCAGTTTGGCTCTCTGTGCTGCAGATTGAATTCGTGGCCCCAGGCAGCCTTGTAACGGAGCACGGCTGACCCTCTTCTGACATCCCCCGCGCAGACACGACAGTTTCTCATCCGCACCCTTTGCCTGCAGTCAGGGTCACTTCATGAAGGATTTTGGCTATGCCGAAACTGCAGAATCAAGAGCATTTGTCATCTCCTGCATCCCCATCTTGACCCTCTCAAGAAGAGACCTTGGCTCATCATAGCATTTTTCCTCTATTTCCCTGGAAGGCAAACAAGGATGCATAGGAGGAAGTGAGACACTTTTATCTCATAAAACCTTTTATAAAGTCAGCATGCAGTTGTCTTCATCCAGGTACAGCTGTATCATGCAATATCTTGATGGCCACCTGGCTGCAATTGCTTTGCAGGGCTGATGGTGTATTTAGGGATGCATCCTCAAGTGCTCGGGGGTCAAGATGCTCAAATATCAGCTCTTTCTTTAAATACAGATGTGCAGTCAGGAGGAGCAGCATGCTTCTGGAATCGATACGTGCCTGTCATTATTTCCCCAGCACACGGGGCCGTGACTTGTGTGCAGCCGGGCACCCTGCAGAGGTGGCCTCCTGGCTGGAGAGAGCTGAACTGTGGCAGCAAGAAGAAAAACAAGGCAGAGGTTGTGCCATTTATGCAGACTTCAGATGCCTACCAGTACGTAGCTGCAGTTCACATCACGGCTCTGTGGGTGCGGAGATGGCACTGTGCGTGCAGCCACGGGAGCTCCCCATCAGAGCGTCCCATCTGCAGCCTGGGCAGCCCTGGCACTGCTGTGCTGCCCCATGGTTTTAAAATGCAGGCGTTTTGTGAGAGGAAGGTAGGACTTTAGCTTCTAAAGTCCATCTTGGAGGCCTCTCCTACACAAGTCTCTTGCCTCACGTAACACACCCCGAGAGGATTAACCAACAGAGAAATAATGTTGTTTGCTTTGTTCATTTTGTTCCTCTTCTGCTGGATATTTGTGTCACGTGCTCTCCCTTGTGCTGCCTGGTACCTGCATCCTTCCTCGTGGTCCACCCGAGGGAAGGGGAAAAGGGAATGTGAGCAGCTCCACCGAGACTTCCCCGCCTTTAAGTCTGAAGGGGTGACCCAGGAACCTGCTGAATTTGGAGACCATGGGTTAAAGCACTGGTGATGCTAATAATACTGCTAATTACAGTCTTTTAAAATAGTTTTTGTTTTGCCTAGATTCATTGAAGGAAACAAAATCGAAACCATTTCAAGAAATGCATTTCGTGGCCTTCGAGACCTGACTCACCTGTAAGTTATTTAACACTGGGTAGAGTAATTTGTACTTGAACAAAACTCTTCTGGGGGACCGCTGGTTTTCCTGCCATGTAGAAAACCTCCCTTCCCCTCCGTGCGTCAGCTTCCTCCCACTGTCAATAACGTGCCTTCCACAAATTAAAAAATGGCCTTTAAAAAATTCCTGCTTGGGCAGCACTGCGGCACGTTCGGCTGCCTGCACACACTCGCAGCTCGTGCTGGGGTGCGGCTGTGACCTGCGGATGTGGCACCAGTACCGCCGTGGTACTACCTACTCCTGATTAACATTCCTGTTTCTTTTCAGTACGCTCAGTGATTGCTCTGTGTGTTACATTTGCACCTGGGCAATAAAAAAGCTTTCTATATTTTACTTTTATGTGAGCTTCAAGCAATCTCCATTCTTGAATGAGAATAATTAATATGTGCCTGTTCCTCATAACTATTAACAATGTCAGTGGCTGGACAGTACCAGATAATTAACAACCTGTAAGTAAGCTCAGACTTGAGTCAGCCAGACAAGAGAGCGCGATGATACTAAGCTCTAACTTTCTTTTCTAGTTCTTTGGCCAATAACCATCTCAAAGCTCTGCCAAGGGATGTCTTCAGTGATTTAGATTCTTTAATTGAACTGTAAGTAATGAGAATCTTTCTATTGACTGCCTGCTTCTGTCACTCTGTTACTCTGAGTATTACGTTCTGGGTTTGTGTGGTGCTGTATCTGATACCTGCACAGAAAAGAAATGTGCATTTTGTTATTCTAGCTTTTCTCATTTTAAAATTGTTTACTTGGCAGACTCCTCTGAAATAGCTGCTATTTCTCAAATCACTGTCGCTTCTCATGATGCTGTACATAGCTTGCATTATTGTACTTCTTTCTGACGTTTCATATAAATTGTTTTTTAGGGAAAGGGAGACAATGAATTTTAAAACTACAATTTCTATGAGCATTTTTTCCTGTTATTGTTGCATGTATTCCCTGAGATTATTTTAGTAAAAGGCATTCATAAAAAAAAAAGCTTTTTTCCTTGTTTTTGTGCAGTTGTAGCACATTGCTGACTTACTGTCAGTGTTTTCTTGTATAACTGAGCTGCTAGTCAGCTTCCCCTATTTTTGGCCTGGTTCTCCCAAATAGCAAAGTGTAATTGTAAGCCACAAAAATTGCCAAGGGATGGAAGAACAGGCAGCGTTGAAACTGCACATACATAAGTAGGGGGAGGTTAAATTGACTCCACATCAGCAGCGACTCTAAAAATACAAGCCTTACATCTGTATTTTAATGTAGCACACAAATGGTACCAGCAAGGCCACTCTGTCAACCAGCGGTACTGGAGTAGTTTAGTGACGGAATGGGATTTATCTGTGTCGGCGGTAGATGGCGGGATGGAGGCTTGCAGCAGACAACCACACTGCCAGGATTTATTACATCATAGTCCTAATCCTATGAAAACTTATAAACATGAGTGACTTCACACGTGAATCACAGTGCTCTATTAGTAAGACTATACGTGGGCATATTTCCTAGGCTGAAACTGTTTTTCAAGGACAACACTCAGTGAAGGAGAGTCCCTAGTAAGAGAGTCCAAATAAAACTTAAGAAACTTTCCTGTTCTCAGTTCAAAGCCAATTCAAGGCTACTCAGATATTTTTAAATTCAGCATGTCAAGGTGATAACAGTTCTGTAGTATTCATATTGCTATCAACCTTTTCAAATATGTTTATTTCTGTGTGTTTTTTAGAGATTTAAGGGGAAATAAATTTGAGTGTGACTGCAAAGCCAAGTGGTTGTTTTTGTGGTTAAAGATGACAAATTCCACTGTTTCTGATGTCCTGTGTATTGGTCCAGCAGAATATCAGGATAAGAAGTTAAATGATGTGACAAGTTTTGATTATGAATGCACCACTACAGGTATTCAGAATGTATATTTCTAAGCACACTACAAATGGTTAAATATCGGAAGTTTCGACTATACCCTTCCGCTTCTGTGAGCATGACCTGGGGGGAGGAAAGGGTTATATACAAAGCACTTCCAAGTACTAGAGCAAGCATAAAATGGGAAAATTACATTTCGAAGCCAGAGTAAGTAGTGAGTTTTTATTTGGATTAAGTGATAATGGGAGAAGAGCTCTGACTATTCCTATTCCAAAAGACTTGATTATGACTCACTTTGTGACTTAATTTTCATCACAGAATGCTTTCTATTATCTGGAATAAGGCCATATAGTTATGGCAGATGAGCTTCCCAAAATCTCTGTATTTCACAGAAAGCAATGAAAAGAAGTTCAAATAATGTGGCTATATCTGTTATCTTTATTCAATAGGCCACAATTTAATAGCATCAAATGTGGCGGCAATACTGCCAGCGGTTCTTCAGGGAACTCCATTAAGTTGGAGAAAAACGTCCAATAATATTCTGACTACTGTCTTGTTTAGGATCTTGATTTTTATTTTAGGTAATGTAAAGCATGCTGAAGGAAGTGAAGAGAAACTTGCATGTGGTTATGCTTATATTTTATGACTGAACCGCCACAGTTACCTATCTTTAAATGTAGTCACATCATATAACTGAGAATAGCTGCGAGTATTGTTTTTCATCTTTCATGTATATGATGTCAGCACTCTGCCTTTTTTCTATACAGTAATATCAGAGGCATTCGAGCTCTCATCTGTCATCAAGGCAGTCATCATCATTAAGAGACAATAGAAAAGTTGATTACTAGCAATGTAAAATAAAGTTTCAGGACAAGGTATGAAAGGTAATCCAAGGGCAGTATGTAAAGGAAAAGAGAATGAACTCGGAATTCAAAGATACGTCAGAAGAGCAGCAGAGGTAAAGCGCGATTATCTGCTACATAAAAGGATGTCAAAATCAGGAGAGCAGTGTAGCTTAGAACGGTACCAAAGGTACGTTCCTGTGTCTGCCAAATCACCGAGATGCAAAACTACAAAGTAAAAGCAGGCTTTATTTCACTTCAATCTGGTTTAAGCAATTGCACAGCACTAACAGTGTGCAAGAACAAGCCTTATCTACCTGGTCCTCAGACCTATACTGACCTACCTGCCCTCTGTTATCTCTTTGTACCTAGAAACCTAACTATAAAGTTGCTACAGGCAAAATTCACCCTTAACGTTAGTCCGTTTGTCTGCTGTAAGTGAAATTACACCAAGCATAAATCTAATTTCACATGCTGTAGAGTTTGCTGGGGAGCTAAAGCATTATGTGGTGCAAGAATTGCCCAGCTGAATATTTTTTCAAATGCCATCAGAGAAGTGCTCTCGCAGCACAGCATATAGGTGTAAAACACTCTTCAGATAGTAAAGGACGTTTTCAAACCAGTCATTCTCTGGCTGCTGTGAGGGAAGGCTGTGTGCCTAACCCCTCTGGCCCGGGGGTAGGCAGCAGCAGGCTTCCTAGAGCTCCAGTGCGTAGCGAAGGTGGAGGGTGCAGAAGACATGGAGCTCTGGCGTCCTTACAAAATGTCTGAGAGGGACAGACTGCATGTAGAAATGACCCGTAAGAGATAAAACAGAGATAAGTAGAGTAGAAATGCAAATCTTCTGGAATGTGTCACCTCTGAGACAGCATCACGTCCCCTGCACTGAACTGGAAGTTACCTTGCTTGAGCTGTAACCCTCCGGTGGCCTTGGTGGTCTGCAGTGTCAGGCCACAGCTACTTTTTCCTTCTCTGCCATTGCCTCCCCCAGATCCAAAGGGAGCGTAAATATGCCCATATTCATTCCTTGAGGATTGATTTGTCACAGGCTCAGGCTTGTACCATATTTTGAAGTAAAGCAACATACCCTGTAGCTGTATTCTCCTTTCCCACTCAGTGACGGGCAGTGCTCTGCAAACCTTTTTCATTCACATTAGTCTTTAGTACCGTATTTCCCTCCTTTGCCAGGTGTGATCAGACTCTCCCATCATTTCTGGTCTCTGGTACTCTGTGTTGAGCATGACTGGATGTAGGATGTGGTAACAAAGCAGTTTGCATGGTAAAACGTACATCTCACAGTGGCTCCATCAGTTCATTGTGTCCTCTGAACTGATACAATGGTAACGGGAGGAGAGGTGTAAAGAGGTGCTGCCATATTAAAAAAAAAAGCCAAAGACAAAACGCTCCTATCACTTATTCACAGAGAAAGTGATTCACAGTGTCAGTGATCTGCACTTTTAACTCTTTTTATGATAGCATCTCTCTCTCCCGTTTCTCACGGCTTGCATCATGGAAGCAGGTTAAGCCGTTTCAGTTCGTTTCTCGTCTTTCTCCCGCAACAGTGTGCAAGGGGGCTGTGCTGTGGCTGTAAGCACGGCAGGGGAACGTGTACTTACTTTCAGGAGACTGGAAGATGGGCCTTGCACTCCCACAGTCACTGGAAACGAGCTGCGTGTGTGCATGAGACCTGCTTTGCCCAGACCTGCTGGCAGGGATCATCTTGCCGAGGTTTGGAAGCTTGGTTTCCTCTTTCTTCACCTAGCTGGGACTGTCTTCTGGAGGTGGTCCTCTCTTTTCCTGCTGGCTGGAAGAAAGGTAGTTTGCAAATTAAGAGCTACCTACTCCGTACTCGCTCCTGTGCTGGAGATCACCTGTGCTGCCATGGTGGGAGACAGGAAGGGATGGCTAATGCTCCCCGACAGCACCTCCAGGTGCCAGATAGCCTAACCTGGAGTAGAAGTCTCCACCACGGGGAAGAAGGGCCATGAGGAGAGGGGGACCGACTGGTGTCCAAGTCGCAGGGTGCAGTTTAGGAGCTGCTGCCCAAAGAGGTCATTGCTCCCCTTTCTCTTTAGTGTCCTCCAGCGTTCCCCACACACTCCCCCTCTGCATCTGTGCTCCTGTGTGCTGGGATCAGCCAGAGCAGGGGCTGCCGGGAGGGAAATCAGCCCAACAACAAAAGCATTGGGTCCCTCATCGGTGACAGCTTGTGCCAGTTCAACAGCCAAAAGAGCAGAGGCGGAGCAGGTGGCTGGAGGACGGGGGGGACCACCCCAGCTCTCAGCCGGCAGAAAGCAATGTTAAAACCACGTCTTGAAACTGTGCATCGGGGCAAGAGGCAGCGAGCGACTGCCCAAGCAGCCAGTGGCACAGGGGCGAAGTGAGGGCCACGTCCTCTTCCCTCTCCCGTGCAGAGTGATCCAGCTTAAAAGAGAAAAATGTTGGGAAACACTCCCCCCCCAGCCCTGTATTTACTGTACGAGCTCTTTCTAGCATTAAAGCAAGGCATGTGGACCTGACTGTAAAACTAAATAAAGCCCCCAAGACCTAAATTTTTGGCAAGCCTGATGTGGCAGCATCTCTTTACTGTGTAACCCTGTTCCATGTTAGAGTCTGGTATTTTCAACTGGTGCTAAAAACAACATTTATTGCTTTTTACTGATTACAACTGATTTTGTTACCCATTTTTACTCATCCAGTGACATAAAGAGCCCAATGACAGGTACAAGTAAAAATAGCTGTGTTAACACTGAATAATTTCTGAATGAGCAATAGGTTTTAACACCCAGACTGGTTTGTTTTAATTCACAGATTCCCTCAAAGTGTTCCACAACTGTTCAGATTTCAAGAGATGTCTTTTTCAGCATTAGTTTTTTTGTTTTTTTCTCAAGATTTTAAGAATATTTTGATTTTCTGTGACTGTATCCGTTATTGTTCCATCCTTAGCTACCGTTCATGATTTATCACTTACTTTTAATTTCTGCATACTTCGGTGTCAGTTTTCTCCAGTCTTTTTATTTTCCCAGTGAGAATGAAGATAACTTTTTTGTTTTCCTACCAGCATTTATGAATCAAGCCCAAACTCTATTTATAATAGTCCCTCAAAGAATGGAGACTGTCATTTCTTCTGCAGCTGTAGAATCTGCTCTGTTTGTTTAATGGTAGTCATCTATCTTTATTCTCCAGAAGCGTAACTCCTCAAGGGCAAGGCTTTCAAGCATGCAGAGACAGAGAGTTCTTCATTCTAAAACAATTATTTCATAATGCACCAAAATGAGGGACTCGAATGAGGACTTAATTACCGTTTCACCAAAATCCCTGGATGCTCAGGCCCTTTGAGCGTAGGAGTGCATGGTGAAGGCATGTAACAAATGGAGCTTGAAACAGAGTGGTGCGTGGTTCTGCAGAGAAACTCCATCGTAGTGGAAGACGCATTTCCTTTTCTGTATATCTATATCCATATATAACTTCAGCGCAGGCCTTCTGCCACGTTGTAGACCCAAGTGCTGGCTTTTCTGTGTCAACTCTGCTTACTGGTTTCTTTTTCTGATAATAATGGCCTTGCCCAGCTGTCAGGCCAAAGATCAAATTCAGACCCAAGTCTATTCACTTTGCCCCAGATTGGCTCTATGCTGACTGTTGACTTAGCCCAGGGTGAATTTTAGCGTTAAATCTACAAAGACACATGGATTTTGAGAAAAAATCTTGAATTTTGGAGTTACACTCTTAGTCATTACAGGTTGCTCCAACTCCTCAGTCTTACTATCTAGAATAAGTTTTCCACTGGATAGCAATTTGCAGGTTGGTTGTATTTTATGCCTAAACTACTTTACAATGCCCCATAAAATGTTATGTTAACTGAGTTTTTGATTACACCATTTTGTCTATGGTCTAGCCAAAATGGGGTTATCCCCAGGCAAACTTCAGATTATCATTTCACTGTCTGCCTGGTTTAGCATAACACAAATTGCTAGTGATTAAATTTGCATGACTTAAGAAGTTATTTGGCTTCAGCTGGAAGTTGCTGTCTCTCAGCTTGAAAGTCATTCTAGCAAGGCCATTTCACTTGATGGGAAAGCAACTTGCAGCTCTCGGGAAAGAGACTTCCCTCTCGATAATCCTGATTTCATTGATACCAGCCAGCCTAGCTGGAAAATCTGATTTCTGCCACTATTTACCTATTTGATCTCCTTGGTAACTATATTTCCAGAAGACAGTTTATGAAGCCTAAAGCAGGAGAAGCTTTCCCCTGTTGCTGCATGCCTAACGTGAGCACTGACACTTCCATGCTAGTGTTATACAAAATCCAGAGTATCATTTCACTCATTTTTCAGTGTAAATCATTATAATCAGCAACCACTTACTCTGTGTTTCCAGCAAGGATGTCTCCTAACTGTTGTAAATATATGTTTCTAGATTTTGTTGTTCACCAGATTTTGCCCTACCAGTCAGTTTCAGTGGATACGTTCAACTCAAACAATGATGTGTTCGTAGCCATTGCACAGCCCAGCATGGAGAACTGCATGGTGCTGGAGTGGGATCACATTGAAATGAATTTCAGGAGTTATGACAATATCACAGGTATATGAACACTGGGATTCCAGTCGTTGATGAACTGTTGGCGTTTCACAAGGATGAGATGTGTAGATGGGACCAGTTGATAGTTTTTGTCCCGAATCTCTGTTGAATTTGGCAGATCAAAGTGTGTAATGTTGGGACATGAGTGACTTCATGGAGTAGTGCATCTTGTTAATACATGCACATTTAACCACACTGTAGCATACAAACTAGGCTTTTTTTGTCTGATCTTATAAATTGTTCTGAAGACACAAACACTTGCTGTGAATGTCACACTGTGGCCATCTTACCACTCACTGCCTGAATCACACTGCAAGTTAACGTGTAAGTTAAAGGAGCCCTCACTCTTGCCAAAGTGCCTGCAAAATGGAATATAAAAATACTCTACTGCATGTAGACGGAAATAGGTGTGAAGGATGCTTCTAGGGTGGGCTGGCCAGGAAAGCATGTTTCACAGCTGAAGATGACATAGAAATATTTAAACCGTGGTTGTTACCTAAAGAGATGTGCTGTAAAGCTTTCATGTTTACTTTCCATTTACAAACGTGCTGAATTAGCATCCTGGCCAGATTACTCATCAAACAAAAAGCCCATGTGGATGCCAGGTGATTTTCTAATGCTAACAACCATTCTGTCCCTAATCGACACTCATGGTGCTATACAAAGCGCAGTCACACCATGACAGCAGGGACAGAGTCTTTAGATCCGTTATACGCTGCCCAGTTTCCCAGCTACTCCAAGCTACTGGTTCTGAGGTCTCAGGATCTGAATTTATCCATGGAGCATCCTTCCCTCCTGTTCCTTGTTACGTGTGATAGATTATTTTTTTACCTTGCATTTTGGGAAAAAAATAGTATGCTGCATCTTCTTCTGGTGTTGTGGGAAGTCTAAAAAGGCAGCAAGCACCTACCTCCTCAGATCAGCTGTGTGTGTCACTAACGAAAGTTTACAAGATACTACCCCTCTGTCAGGAAATTTTGGAAATGAAAAATTTTGCTTTTTTAGGTTTCATTGTGTTTTGGTAGATTAGGAGAAGATATGTACCAGTGGATGTAAATTGAGAAGTAGATGGCCGAAAGAGAGATAGCAGAGCTCTAGAAAAGCTCTGGAAACGAAGTTGAGAGTTTAGGTCATTTCCAAAGACAGCTGTCTTCCAGACGCATTTCACTTTCCTGTGAATGACGTGAGGAGGAGACACTTCTGCTGGGGCCTTGTGTGCTAGCTCCACACCCAGCGTACGTGCCCAGACTCATTTCTCAGATGACCGCCATGTGTTCCTGGAAGGCCCGAGCTTAAGCTCCAGACTCTGAAATGTAAGTGAGCAAGAGACTTTTGCCAGGGGACACAGGCATGTAAAGAGTCTTTTGCAGAGCCTAAAAAGCATTTTGTAGAGCTCAGGAGCCAGCTTTGCGCTCCATGGGGAGTTTCATTACTGACTGTATACTTGGCATTCGGATGTCCGAATTTAGCCCTTTACAACACGGGCTTATGGACCTGAACTAGTTGTCAAGATTGCCTTTAGAGTCAACATGCAGAGAATAGACGTTGCTGTCCTCTCCAAAAGGAGACATCTATAGGCCAGGTGAAATCTTTTCTAGGGTGCTTTTTGACTGAGTTAGACAAGAAAGAGCCTGGATGATCAGCTCAAGCATTCATGTCTATGCTGCAGATACCTTACAGTACTTGAGATGAATCCCACCCCTCCTACAATGGAAGGGTGGTAGATCATCCAAGGCTGGCTGTGAAACAACTATGGGTAGAGGGCCAGGAGAGGTGCCAGGGCGAATCTCCTGTAGTGACTGTGACCAAGCACGCATAGGGGAATCTGTGCAGTCACAGTTCTACTTAAACTCTGCGCTTCAGAGAGGAATTCCTCTCTTCTTCCAACAAAACCTTTCGTAAATAGTCTGGTTGTTACTTTTTTGATGTGGTTCTTGTATAGTGACTTGACATTCTGAAAACGGACCATAACCCGACCTGATCTAATCTGGCAACTGCAATATTCCTAAATATTTCTAGTTTAACGTAATCTCAAAAATACTTAACAGAAACAACAGAGTTAGATTTATCTTTTTCATCCTGCTGTCAGGTGATATATCCACAAGATGCATCAATATTTCTATTTACAGTAGCAAAAAGCTGACTCTGGCCCTCTTGGAGCAAGAAAAATAGACTATATTTCATTCTTCTAGTTAAGCTGGAAAGATAGATATTCCAAGAATAAGAGAATTTCAGATTCCTGCCGATTCATGAGACAACAACTCTTGTTATTTTGGAATAATAAAATTTGGCTTAAATAATTGTTTTGGATGTTAGGAGGCATGTGTTTGAACGAACAGAGAAAGAAAAAGTATTCTGGATAAAAAGGAATGAGCATTTTAGGGTGCATCATACTTGCACACCTTGAGGGGTGTGACTTTTCCAACATTTGAAGTCATCTTTCCAATTATTGGGAGAAAAAAGCATGAAAAGAAACTCTGATGGTGTGTAGCAGAAGGCAAAATTATGAGATGGTGCAGATTTAAAAAAGGGGAGGGGTGATTTGATAATCTCTCTGTGGTTTAAAGGGTGCATTGTACTGTGCTAATATATGTGCTTTTTTTTTTCTTTGGGCAATAGGTCAGTCCATAGTGGGATGTAAAGCCATTCTTGTCGGTGACCAAGTCTTTGTGGTGGTGGCGCAGCTCTTTGGTGGCTCACACATTTACAAGTATGACGAAAGCTGGACAAAGTTTGTCAAATTCCAGGATATCGAAGTATCTCGCATTTCCAAGCCAAATGATATAGAGCTTTTTGAGATAGACAGTGAAATGTTTTTTGTCATAGCAGATAGCTCTAAAGCAGGTTTGTCAACAGTGTACAAGTGGAATAACAAAGGATTTTACTCATACCAGTCCCTTCACGAGTGGTTCAGGGACACCGATGCTGAGTTTCTTGATATAGACGGGAAATCACATTTAATCCTGTCTAGCCGTTCCCAGGTTCCCATTATACTCCAGTGGAACAAAGTTTCCAAAAAGTTTGTCCCACACAGTGAAATCCCCAACATGGAAGATGTCTTGGCTGTGAAGAGTTTCAGGATGCAAGATAACCTGTACATCACACTCACGAGATTCATTGGTGACTCCAGAGTTATGAAATGGAATAGCAAACAGTTTGTGGAGATACAGGCTCTTCCATCTCGAGGAGCCATGACGCTGCAGCCTTTCTCCTTCAAGAACAATTACTACCTAGCCTTGGGAAGTGACTATACCTTCTCCCAGATTTACCAGTGGGATGGTGAAAGGAAGATCTTCAGATTATTTAAAGAAATCTATGTGCAAGCACCACGGTCTTTCACAGCTGTGTCAACGGATCGAAGAGATTTTTTCTTTGCCTCTAGTTTTAAAGGAAACACTCAAATATTTGAACACATCATCATTGACTTGAGTTTATGAAAAGCTGCTGGAACGAAATTCATGTAGAGTGACATTTATACACAAACAAAACAAAAAGAGACCTTTCCAAAAACGGGGTGCGCCTATGGAGTATGATGACATTTTCTGAACTTTTCAAACTTGCATATTAATCAGGGATTGCATTTACTTGGTTACTGCATGACATGTCCATTTTATCCTTTTTCAAAGACACTTTGCAATCTCCAGTCATTCAAAGGAGAGTGCAGCGTATTAGGATTAATGTTGACATCTAAGAGAATGATCTAAATTTTACCCAGAAAACTACCTTGAATTGAACATCTCATAAAGAAAGTGAAGAGTAAGCCATACAAAGCATAGAAATGATCTTGACTCTTAAACTAACATGTTAGTAATGATTTTAAGATTAGACCCAGTTCTTCGTGGTTGCTGATGAATTGTAAAAGTGAACAGTAACATCCCAGAATACACTTTATTTTGGTTTCTTGAGGTCTGTCTTCAAAATCCGTCGTTTATAGTAAGACCGAGGCATCATTTTAATTCATTGTAGATGAAAGGGAGAGTCAAAATCTATTGCCATTTTTCTTCCATTAATCACTATTTCAGCAACAAATTGTGCATAACAAGTAGCCCAGCCCACAGTAACTGGGTAGCCAGGAAAAGAAGGGTATGTCACTTCTAGACTGTGAGAGCTTAACAAGTTAACATAGACAGAGAATAACCGAGGTCTGCTTGGTGCCATGAATGAATTGACTACAAATTCTGTCCACTTTCTGTTTTAATAGGTATTCCAGAAATCCACCCCATTTTGCCCTAATTCACACTCTTACTGATGATCCCAGTAGACTCTGGGGTCTTTTAACACGTAAATCTGTTGTGATCTCTCATTCCAGAAGGCACAGCTTAAATTTAGCCTGAAACACACATCTACATTCATGTTCTCCATGCTGTAGCTCATCTGTACACAATGAGATGATTTATTCTCCAGTGTTCTCCCCTCAACACAGCTCACAAGCAATAAATTCAGGTTTTGGTAATCACAAGCTGTATTTGGGGAATCCTCCTTCTGCCTGAGGTCTAAATATGACTTCGGTATCACCAGGTCTTTTGAAACCAAGGCAGCTGGAGCTGTATCAGGCTAGAGCTAACCCTGGCTCCAAGAAGAAGGGTTTCCTCTTGGTAGCTCCAGGCTTTTGCCAGGTTGCCAAGCCATTGAAAATTAAACAGGAGGATGGGAACAGACCGTGCCGCATTGTTGTTTTGGGTGGCTACAGACTAAGGCATTCAGTCATCCTAAATAGGGCAATCCCGGCATGCAGAGCCTCTGTCAGGATGACGGCAAGGGGCGTTTTCCTGGAAAGACTCTCCACCATCCTTACCCAACGAAGTTGTGTATCAGAGCCCCTGTTTGTTCACTTACACGATACGTTCCTTTAAGTTTTCACACCACTTAGCATACTAGGTTGTTTTATCTTGTCTTGCCGCTGCATTTCCGCCTTGGATAATAGGGAGCCTTTGCATAAAGCTCGCGGAAAATAAAGGAAACTGTCCTTTATTCCTTCATAGTCAGGACTATCTCGCCGTCTCTGTGCTGAGTGAGCTTCACATTTTTCCCCTGGACACATGAAACATGGCCTATTATCACAAATAGAGATGTTCTCATAGGCTTTCTGACATCCAAGGTATGAACAGTGCTGCAGAAGAGGATTATGCACAAGGACTCCCATGAGGAGTTGTAACCTACCAGTGACCTGGCATATCACAGCCTTCCCCAAATTCTGCCTCACTGCTATGACATGAAATTATTACTGGCCTGTCAGAGACATAACTCATTTTATTCTGATTTTAAATTACGTGTTAGTTTTTTTTCCTATAGAGGTGCTCATCCTGGTTTTATTTTTAATTACATTGGCAACTTAGCCCACCCAGCCATCTGAAGTATTCAGCACTGCCCTCCGAATCCCAATGCGGGGTCAGTCCCGGTGGTTCAGTCAGACCCGTAGATGCTCTCTCCCTTCACCTCACGAACCAATCCTCTGCAGTAGGTTTTAGCAATACCTCTCCTTGGATTAAGCTAACAAATCTGACAAAACAAAGAGATGATTCATATGTCTGCCAGTGAATGCAATTTCTTACCATGTTCCCAGTTTACTTTTTAAAGCGGGTATGGCTGGCAAGTGGTATTTCTTTAACCTGTGTTGTGAGAAGGCATTTTTTATTGCTTTTCCATCAAGCGTGTGTGTTAGAGTCAGATATTCTGATGAGGAGGGGCATTTCTCAGTGCACCAGCACTTTCTTTTAGGGCTCACTGTGAGTACCATTCACTCAGCAAGGGGCATCAGTCAGAGCTAAAAGCTAGTTTAGAGAAACTGGATCTTGACATTTTTTACTTGAAAGGAAGCAAGAGGATGGAGAAAAAGGGCTTGTGTATCGAATACCAGGAGATTGTGCTGTTTCGAGAGCCGAGGGGATTTTGAGACTTGGCTATCAAGTTGAATTAAATTAAAATAGTCTCTGCAGAGACAGGCTTAATAAAGAGGAGAAAGTGATCCACACGAGTCTAGCTCATTCACACAGGACCAGAAGAAGAAAGTGAGGGAAATGAATTCTGCAGGCAGGCTGCCGCTTCTACTGAGTCGCTGTGTTGGTCAGAAAGCCCAGCTCAGCATCCCTCCCAGCTTCAGGAGGAGCCTGGAGTCAGACGCCGGCCCGCCTGTTCTGCTGAGCTAGTGCACAGGAGGTCAAAGCAGCTAAGAGGGAGGGTAAAAAGCACCAGTTGATGAAGAAAAGGTTACGGTACATTTCTCAGGATTAAACAAAGGCAGTGTCTCAAAAAGAGCCTTGTTCTGCTCTTCCTGCTCCCAAGGAAAAGCTGCAGGATGCAGCCATAACAGAAATCACTAAGCATGAAAAATACTTTCTGCCTTTCCAAAATGCAACAACAGTTTTGTCTCCATGGCCTATATTCTGTAATAGAAATTGTTTTGAGTAATAAATAAATGATGCATATCCATAATTTACTGCAACTGTTAGACCATCAGGACAGTGAGAAAGGATAACAGAACATGCCACCTGGTAATTTTTAATGTATTCTAAAATACATACAACTATGTAAAGAACAGTAGTTTATATAAGCATAGATTTAATACAGTGTGCTAGCTACAGTGGGAGCATTTTAATGCTGTATATACATTGAGCTTTTTTTAGTAAAGAGGAGCTGATGCAATCTATGCTACTGACACATGTATGTACTCTTCCAATGTATGAATAAAATGTAGTTAATGAGACTAACAGTGGTGCGTTGTGTGTGTTAAAATATCCACGCTGTGAAGATCCACACTGCCAGAGAGATGGACAAGGAGGGCAAACGAGTCCTTGTACATTTATGATCGGGTTTGGCTTTTGAAAACGTGAAAGAAGCCGTGCTCAGCTTAGTTAAACTCAGTTTCTGTGCCTGAGGTAGCTCGATCTCCAAGGTTTTGCAGTTCCCTGGCTTTCCCCTTCACTCTTTCCTTACACCCCATCTAGTGTTAGCAAGTATGTACTGCAGCTACTACTACGATTTTCGGTTCATATTAAACTCGGGTTGTTTCCTTTCTTTCTTGCCACAAAACCAAGAGATCTTAATTTTCAAAATAATTTTCAAAGATACTTAAGATACTTAAGTGGGTTTCTTACGTGCAGAGTGGGTCGGAACCAAGCCCTAAAATTAATCCCTAGACTTTCAGATCTTCACTGTGGGGTCTCTTAAGATTTGTTAAATTTTACTGAATCGTTGGCATTTACTCTGAAATTGCAAAAATAAATATAAATCTATCAATAGTGAATACATTTTCTTTAAAGCAATCCTTGAGCATTATCCACTGATCCTGCCAGTCACGAACACAGGGAATAATTCTTTTTGTTTCCTCTTCTTTCTTCAGAAACAGCGCAATTCTCTGTAACTAATTACAGGCTTGTGCAATCAAAGACATGTCTGACATACCATAATGGGATGCAATTGCTCCAGGATCATTGCTTTCCTTTTGGGTATTCCACCTTTTTATGAGTCAGCAGTCCTTGTGGTGTGGTTCACTGAAACTCCATCACAGCTCAAACATCAGCTTCAAATCAGCACCATTTCCTCATCTGCACTCCCCCGGTTTCTTTGCCCTTGCTAGGTGAACGTTTTTTTCCACCCATTACCACCTTCTTCAAATCTTCCTCAGAAAGTTTCTATTCCTCCCAAAAAGTCATAGCAAGATACCCAGAGAAAAGCATTCCCAAAGAGCAATATGAAAGTCATAGCAAGATACCCAGAGAAAAGCAATGCAGGGATGGTCACTCCTCTGGAAATTTCAAGGGGAAGACAGAGCAGGGTCCTTTTGAAAGGTCAAGCTGAAGGCAGATGTGTAAGAAACAGCTGTCAAGAGTCCCACTCACCCCTTCTAATTCCCATTCACTCCTGGCCTACAGACCTGAGCCACTACCACCGCTCCCCCTTGGCAGCAGTGCTCACAGCCAGGAATTACTGAGACTTTTTTTTCACACCCTAACCCAGAAGAAATGGAGCCCAGCTGCTAACGCTGGGTTTTTTTCCTAGTATCTGGAAACCAGCCTCTTAACCCCTCCTTGCATTCCCCATACAGTCCAGCCTCCTTTTTGAGAAACTGCAGGTTAGATGATCTAACGGGCTTCAAAACTGACCTTCAAAATCTTCAAAACCAGCTGGCCACATGGTGTTAGATCCTCCACAAAATAAGAGACTGATACTGTGAAAGCATTTCAAATGACAGCTACACCCCCAGTACCACTTTCCCTATAAGCCATGGCCATTCTTGCCACAGAGCTGCATGATGATTTGCAGAGGTGTTTTGCAAAATCTTGAATGGGAGGAAAGTTGCTAGAAGATGAGGTCCATGTTATGAAGCACTAGGCAAATTCTGTTATCTTTAGGTCTGAGTGGATGGTTTGGAGCCATCCACATGCATGGTGGGTAGCTGCATATGTTGCAAGTTGGACACGATTCCTTACAAAGCCAC